CCAGCCACTCCTTGGAAGGAAGATGGGGCAATCTACTTCTGTAGTGATACTGCCTCGGAAACCCAAGGAGGGGTCGCTATGAGTCGGGTCCGACTTGACGACACGTAACAACAACAACAACAACAATCTGTCTTATAAGGTCATATGGGTTGGAGTTGACTCAGTGGCAGTGGGTTTTGGTTTAGCTTGCCAAATAAAAAGCTTCTGCTATGGAAATATTAATATATTTGAATATGAGGTGCTGCCCCAGACTTGTGAGAAGGAGTTAAATAAAATATGCTGGTCACGTAGTGGATAAGGTGCTTGACTGCTAACCAGAAGGTCAGTGGTTCAAATCCACTAGCCGCTTTGCAGAAGGAATGTGGGGCGATCTACTTCCATAAATATTTATAGCCTTGAAAACCCAATGGTGGTCACTATGAGTTGGAAACGACTTGATGGCAGTGAGTTTGGTTTTTTTTTTTTGATGGGTACCATATTACTTATTGGAACTCTGCAAGAGTCTGAATTCATTTTGCTACAAGGGATTCAGGTAAGAATGTGGAACTACAGTGTTTGCTGCAGCAGCTAATAGTTACTGAGTACATCCCTGTGTTAGGCACTGTGCTAAGCACTTTGCATGCATCACTGCAGCATTACTTTTCATTATGGCATCATTACTATGATATCTACACATTTTACTGGTACTGGCAGACAAACCAATACACATAGGTAGTCTTTGAAGAAAATTGCATTTTTTTATATGAATTAAATTTGAGGACTATGGTGTCCTTCCTGACAACTAGGAAATTATCACAACTTTTAGAAATCGTGTGTAAACCAAGATGCTGAAGATGAAAGGATGCCCTCTTTGGGGGTATTAAGGTAGCTGTATTTTATGAGATTTTGCCACACAAAATACACCTAGCATAACTGATACTCCTTTCAGAGTTCTTTTGTAACTGCTGTATTGTGACAGTCGTGCCATATAGCTAAAAACTGACTGATTGGTATGGAAAGTGAATTTGCTCTGTAAACTTTCACCCATATCACAATTTAAAAAATAAATTAAATAAATAATAAAATAACCTGACTGATCGTGTAAGAGTAACAGTATGACTCTTTTACATCCCTGGGTGATGGAAATTATTGATGCGCTCCACTGCTAACTGGAAGGTTGAAGGTTTGAGTCTACCCAGAGCACCTTGGAAGAAAGCCCTGGTGATTTACTTAGGAAAAAACAGCCATTGAAAACCCTATGGAAATGTTGAAACTTCAACATTTGCTCAGATATTGTTTCTCACAAATACAGAGTTTCTGTAGTTCTGTCTTTGGATAAGATAATATCCATAAAGTTTCTTTCACTACTCATATTTTATTAGTATTTTTACAGCCTCTTTTTTCCCCTCAGATGAAAAATAACTTTATATTATCTGATGATAAAAGCAATACTATTCATTATGAAAATATATAAAAAAGATGGTAAAATATAATTCATAATTCTAATTCACAATGATCTTAATTAAATAATTTAATGCTTTATTTCATACCTTGTCCCTGACCTTCAACCTTTTACATAAGCTTTGCTTCAGTAACTTCAGTATTTTATACTGATTATGAGAAGAAAATAAAAATACTTTTGCTGATAGAAATTCCCCTTCAGGCCCTCCTTTCAACACACACACAGACACACACACATACACTTTCTTTCCTTTCTGAAATTGCTGCCAGCTGCCAGGGTGCCTTTGGAAAACTGCCCTGGTTGCTCAAAGTCAGGGCATTAAACAAGCTACTGGTGGCTGTGGCTGCCAGCAGCAACAATCCTGGAGTCTTTGGGCGCCAGCCCAGCCAGCTCCTGGGACCACTGCTGCCAGCAGCCACAGGATGTCTGGCTTGCTGGCCCTCTCCTTCCCTCTGTTGCACTAGGAGCCTGGAGGCTATTGTTTCCAGGAGGCCCACTGGCCAGATGCATGCAGGATTGCTCATCATCTTTCTGGATAATCTCTGCCTTCTTGTTGCTGCTGCTGTGACCCATGCAAAACAGAACAAAACTGTCTGTTCTGTACTGTCCCCATGATTGTGGATTGGACTGTTGTGATCCAAAGGGTTTTTATTGGTTAATTTTTGGGAGTAAATCACTAGGCCTTTCTTCCTAGTCTGTTTTAGTCTGAAAGTTCTGCTGAAACTGTTCAGGGTCCTAGCAACATTCAGTTTTCCATTGACAGACAGGTGGTGGCTGCACATGAGATGTGCTGTTCAGGAATCAAACCTATGTCTCCTCCATGTTGTTGCTGGGTGCTGGTGAGTCACTTCCAACTCATAGTGACTCTATAGGACAGTAGAACTTCCCATAGCGTTTCCTAGGCTGTTATTTTTATAGGAGCAGATTGCCAGGTCTTTTCTCCCAAAGAGTGGCTGGTGGGTTCGAACTGTCAGAGTTAGCAGCC